CTGCGGAGATCTTCTCCACGATGGTGGACATGTTTTCCGGACACACCTTGTTCAACAGGCTCTGCACCTGCTCAAGCTGCACAAGAGACCATTTAGTCAGTATGCAACAGGTCAGCCAGTGGTGGAGCAGAATGTCAACACTCAACTCAACACCTTTCAAAAAGACACCGCACAACCTGGCGGGATCCCTCGCACCCGCAGCTCTCGGATGACGAGCTCTTCCACAAGCTCTACTCTACTGGGACTGGGGCTGCCAGAATGTGCTACCTGCCCACGCCTGGCGTTTCATCGCCTCCATCTCGGACTGAGCCTGGCTGCCCACACGGTAGGCGTTGGCCGAAGGCGTCCTGAGATCTGCGAGCACCGCGATTCGCGCCTCCTGCGCCTCCATGCGCCTCCTCACGGGTCGCGTCGTCCACCCTCCGGCCGGAAGAAGACCCGCAAGCTTGGCACAGCTGGGCACCCAAGAAAACGCCACGCCGTCTCAATCGTTCCCCGACCCCCCAGAACCCAGTGCAACAGAGCGTCGGCAAAGCCTCGGCTGTTCGCTCGCTCGCTCGCGCGCACGGCTGCACGATGTTGGGATCATTCCACTCACTCCCCTCAGGGCCATGGGCGTGTAGGATCAGATCTGCACCTCTCCGCCCACTCATGTTCCAACTGGTGCTCCCGATGGAATCCTTGCGGATCGCCGACCCTTCCTTCGGTGGACACCGGGGACCCCACGATCCACCGGTGATCTGGGTGGCGATGGACGGCTCAAACGCTACGAGGCCTGATGTCACCTGATGTTTATTTAGGGGACCTTCAGGGGGGCGCGAAGAAGACACGTGTCTCAGAACACAGCAGCCCAATTCCGGTGGATGAATAACCAAACAAGGGGCACGGTGCCATAAACCTGCACGAACCTGCAATGCTCCCTCCCAGGTTGAAAGAATCCTCGTCAATCCAGGGCATGATCTACGGCAACACGTGGCCAACCATCCTTTTCCGAGTGGCCAAGCTGGGCTGCGGGGTGGCCTTGCTCCTGGCAATCTTGGGCGGCCTTCCTCATCCTCTCCACCTCTCTCACCCATGATCGAGGTTACTCCTTCACCCTGACTTTGAGAAAAGTACACGTGGCCATTTCGACACACGATAATTCAAATGCTTCCATGCTACATCTTGCCCTCGTAGACTTTGTCTTTCTGTCTTTCGACATCATATGTGCACGAAAAACATCGTCCAAGTCTCCAACCAGCCTTGAGATCTTGGCCAAGACACCCTCCACAAAACCACAAGACACCCCCCCCCACCCACATACACTTGAGAAGGTTGCTCCGTGGAGCGTGATTTCAGGCTGCTTCGCGGTGTGCATTAGCCCTTTAGGTGAATACTTAGCCCTTGACTTGATTCAACGGAAAGAAGTGCAAAGTCCGCTCACTTGAATGTTTCAACAAAAAGTATTGATTTAGTGTATATTAAAAATTGCAGGTACACAGTCAGACGTCTCTGATTGCTTCCCATGACATCACTAGCTTCGTTGGCCAGCGTCGTGATGCCATGCGCTGGCCCCCTGCTACTGTACAATGGTTGGAAGATTCGTAGGGTAGGGTAGAACGAGAACTAGAGTAGTGCCCTTGGAAACAGGATTGGACACACACACACACACAAAACTGGAAGTCCTTGGCTCACGTGTGGAGGTCTGCCGCTTCAGCCCCTTCTCACGGATCGGCGACGCCGGCGCTGGCTCCGACCGCTGCCGTGCCATGGGATCCTCGGATGCCGCGGTCGGATGAAGATGGAGAGTGTTCTCCAAAATCACAGGTCTCACACCCTTTGAGAGATCTCTCCACCTCAAGGGGGCACCCTTAATGGGTCAAAGATCTCTCTCCGAAGAATGGGTATCCTTTTTGGGGTGGCAGCACCCACCCTGCAGCAATGGAATGGTGTCCACACATGGCCAGAGTCTGCATTTATGCAGAAGCACGCTCCAAAAAAGCGCCCCCCCACTCATCTTTCATGGACCAGCGGCCGTCCGTGGGAAGACCATCAACGCCGTCTTGAAGCCAACCATCTCTGCAGGCGTCTCCTCCTCTCCTTTGGGACGCCGGAAGCTCAACAAGAACTTACGCGACGCCAGGAAGGACGCTGCAGAGACCTGGACGGTCCGAGCTGACTTGAAGATCTGATGATCATTCATTTAGAGTCAGCTGGAGCTAGTCGTTCTCTGAATACTTCCAGCGGCGCCCCTCTGGATAGAAAGAAAACTTGGTTTTAAAAAGGAGAGTTGGAGTCCATCTTCTCCCGGTCCCTGTTTCAAACTACGGCACCACCTCCATGTAAATAATTCCTCCAAATCCCATCGGACTTGCAAAGCTGTGGGCCAAGCGTGGGGAGAAAACCACCATGGATCCAAGCCCACCTGCCCCAGGTCTCGGACCGTGCCATCCGAGCCTCCGCCTCCTTGCTGGACTGAAAGCTCACGTGCTGGACCTCCAAGTGGTTGTCACCGTGTCTAATGTAGAGGGCTGATTGAAAAAAATGTCTAGCAAAATGGTGTTATATACATCTCAGACGGGGTGTTTATCAATCGATGAGTCAACATCGTGTATCATGTCCCTCCCTTTCCCTCCCCTTCCTTTTCCTTCCCTTCCCTTCCCTTCCCTTCGCGTCCCGTCCCGTCACGTCCCTTCTCTCTCTGTCTCTCTCTCACCCACGGATCCAGTACTTCTCACCAAAACGGCGCCTTCTTCCGCACCATGCGAGGCTTCATCAAGGCATGAAGCAACGGAGAGCCACCCAGCTCAGGACGTTTGAAGTCCACCTGATCGGAGATCGCCGCCCACTCGCCGTCGACTCGCAGCCAGCTGGCCCAGGAACATTGAGTCTGCCTCACATAAGACTATACACTAGGACTCCGGCCTGGTAACACCACGGCCTCCACACTCTAAATTTCAGCTTAAATACTCCACATAAGGATGTCCCCTTATATAAGGGACGAGAGGTATCCTGGCACTTGTTCCCGACTTTTTCCCGTCCCAGGAGCTAAATCCAGGTTCAGCGCACTGAACAGGCTGTCGTCCGCGCGCCAACGCGCCGCCATGCGGATGTGGCGTGCCAAAACCTCCGGACCGATCGTCCACGGCCAGAAGTCCGACCGGCTGTGGCTGGGATGTGGGAGCTGAGTGGGTGAACCAATCTATATACAGTGGATGATGACGGTCAGTTTGGCCGGAATCTCAGGTCGATTGTCGACATCTCTTCCGACTGTTACTGGCAATGTGCACCCTAAGTCCCAGGTATCTGATATCTCAGGTATCGGATGTGACTCTTTTCCTGAAAAGGCTTCCCAGAGCTGACTTCCTTCGAAGATGCCCCAAAAAACCCAGACAGGATCACCAAGCATGAAAAGTTTCATCCCCAGCTGTGGGAGCTACGGACTTTTTGGTGCCCCACCCACTTGCGCCCATGGAAACGTCGCAAAAATCCTGCATTCCAACTCTTCACGCACACTCCCCCGCAACAAAAAAGAAGACACTCAGCCCACCAGACAGACTCAAGTAACACCGTCTCAGGCGAGCCTTGGCTCGAATCAACCCGACTCAAGTAACACCGTCTCGCCCAATCGGAGCCCAATCGATGAGACTCCTGCCTGCTGCACATCAATATTCTGAAACAATGATAGCCCAAGCTTTCGTCGCCTCACAGTGGACCTGTGAGTGGTCCGGACGAACGTGCAGAGAAGGCTGGGCCGCGAAAGAACCGAAGCTGCACCAGAAGAGAAGGGCTTTCATAAGGTATACATCTGTACGGTAATAGTCGCCAAAAACGCTGGTGGTGGTCTACTTCTGTTGAGCCATGCCCAAAATCATGAAAAATAGGCCAACTATGGGTTTTGTCTGATGAACAGCCGCCTGTCAGCGCCATCAGCGGCACCCACGGACGGCGTTGGGTCCTGGGAACGGCGATGGTCGGTGACGGGGGAAAGCCAAATGGAATGGATCTTGAAGCTGCGTTTTCAGAGCAGGAGAGCCAATCCGGATCCCATGGAACTATGTTACTGTTACTTTTGCTTCTAATGGAAAGCGTGAATGTTCATCATCATACTGCAGGGCGTGATTTCTCCACCACCACCAACAACAACGATAACAACAGCGTCATCACTTCGTGACCAACCTTAGCCTTATTAGTCATCAGCGCCAGTTCAAACCCTCTACTGTGTTCCCCAGTTCCCCGCCCCTCCAGAAGGTCAGCCATGGCTATCTGTCTGGCAGCCCGAAAGTGAAGGACAAGTTGCCTGCTTCTATGCTTTGGGCCAAAAGCAAAGGGCAGCCACACCGCTAAAAAAGGAACACAGCAATCTCCTTGTGCGACAGACCCTCTCCACAGAGTTCCAGCAATGCTCAAGTGCTTCCTGCAGAACCCCACGGCCTTCCATAAGTGAATCGAGTTGGCACGTGAGCGGCCATTGTTGATGGCTAATCGCAGCCCTGTGGTGGAACGAACCAAAAAATAACGAAACGTCCAACTTCAATAGCTTACAACCAACAGTTTTCTTTCAACAACAAATCTGCCAACCTTCCACATCCTCCTAAAAAACCCAGCACCCACAGGGCCAGGGCAGCTCATCACTATCCACGTGAAGAAGCCAGTCCATACCCAGCCTGAGCGGTCACAGCTCATCGCTCTGCAGCTCGTCCCCCGCCGCCGTGGGCTCAGCTCTCTCACTCACGTGTTCGACCAAGCTGCTCTCGAGCATGCAACAGGGCGTGTTCATTGTTGAGGATTTGCCGGGACTGAACCTTGCATGAGCGAACCAACTGGAGCCTCAAGTGGGGAAAGGAGGAAGAACTTCTCTGTCATGCCGGGTGCTTCATGGTTCTGTCAGACCTGGTTGGGCCAACCAAGTCGGGCAACAGGAGACCAATTGAACATTCATCAACTGCTCAATGCTGATCCAATCCCGTGACACCCTGTCTGCAAAAATTCCAAAAATGAGGACCCAGCTTCCTGGACCCCTACAGGAGGCACAAGAAGTTCCACAATGTATCTCGCAAAGCCTTGAACCTTTTCCCTGCTTGTTGGTCAAAGCCGCACCTCCATGGTGGCATACTGCCCGACCCTTCCTTGGCATCACTGAAAGCTCAAGAAAAAGCAGGTCAAGTCGAAATGAATCCCGTGACGCATATATAAATATGCATGTCATGTAATGTAAAGTAATGTAATGGTATGGTATGGTATGACTAATGGTATGGTCTGCGTGTATGGTCTGGTACAAACCGACGTACTTACTTACGTATGTGTGCGAACTCTTCAGTGCTGGGCGTGCATCCGGTGTGCCCGCCCCGCGCCCGGGCCCCCGCACGCCATGAGGGCATGGAAGGCCACTGGGCCTTCAAAGCATCGTCCACCGGAAGAAGCTCTACAAAGCCTCGTTCGACCTCAGCCACCGTCGAATGGGAGTCAGGCTGTAGGTACTCTCTCTCTCTCTCTCATCATGATTCTTGGTAGGTGCAGGGCATCTTGGTGCGGCATGCTGTCAACCCGTGTCCAAAGCGCTAGGATGATCAAGTGGAAGGACCAAGGTGGACGTCAAGATCGCACATGTTCCTACTTGATCTGCTTGTAAGATTGGAGACTCCCCCCGCATATTGGGTACCCATGGCAATTGCGCAGGCCCGCCCCAGCAAAGCCACAAAGTCAAGGTCCCGACCCAGCCACTCTTCTGCAAAACGTCTGCTGCAGAATCACCCGGGTCATCCAGGTAGAGCCTAAGAGACCGGCAAACCTGCTGCACAGCTGACATTGGCTGACATAGCTTGACACATCTTAGACTTCTCATGGGTAACTGCTTGGCAGCACTTACCCTAGTGACCGACCATTGAGGGCCACACAGCACTCGATCAAATCCTAAGGCAGCGTAGTGCCGCACGAAGCTTTCGATCACCTTGGTGAGAGGCAAGGTGAGCAGCATCCCAAGTCGATCAAAGACCGGTGAATTTCAGACAACAGGTGTGGTCCTCAAGCATTGGTGTCCTCACATCTGTTGCCCTTCAGACACCCAGGGGTTCAGAACCCCCAAAATTCGGTGCATCTTTCTGGGGCCCCCCGCATTGGCACAGTCGCGGATCTGTGAGAAGAGTGCCACCTTACTCCGCGGGGCACTGTCCTCGCCTTGACTGGCACCATAAGCCCATCCCAGAAAAAGAACGGTCAAACGGAGGTCCTGTTTGTCATCATCCCAACCCAGCAGAAATTGTTTCTGGAGCAGCCAGCACCTCTATGTTTACGTGGCCAAAAAACATGTCCTGGGGCTCTATGCCGGACTCCATGCCTTGTAGCCAGATTAAATGTGTACTGGTCAAGGATGCTACTTGCTCGGAAGTACTTGCTTGGAAGTCATTGAGCCTTCCGAGCAAGCTTCTTTAAGGATGCCTTCTCTTGAAGGAGGAGCACCAGGACTCAATGGGACTCCGCGGGACTTACTCCGGGTCCACCGACACGCGCAGTGGTTGCCACATCGGCCTTGCATGCTCGGTGGTGGCCGCATAAAGGGGTATCCCATGACAAGAAGCTCCAAACACAGAAATGGACAGAACTTGCTTTATGTTCAGGGTAAGGTCAGGTCATGGTTGTTCTTGTTTAGGCATGAAAGACTGTGGGGAATGATCAAGTGATTCGATGCGCTTTGATTCTTCCCCAGGCCCGGCCCACGTACACCTGTCCGACAGCCTCATCCCAGTCAGGGCTGTCCAAGACTCCGGTCATGGATCAAACGAGAAGTCGGAAGGATGTGGTGTCTGAGATGGTCGGCTCGGGAGGGCAACTCCGAAAAACCACGGAAAGCCCACAAGAATCCATGTGACATGACCAACGGCCAAGTGCCGGACCATGCGAAAGATGAGCCGCAGGAGATGAGAAAATCTGTGCCCCCTACCCAAAAGTCAGTGGAGTTCTTGTTGTTCGGTGTATGCAAGGGGCGAAGACGCGTCAACCGTTCTGGCGCGTAACATGGAAAACATTGGTCCCGGAGTCCTGGAGACCATTTTGACTTCTCTCCAGGGGCGTTGTTCGAGATCAAGCGCGCGGGGTCATGCACCAATGAGAAGCAGACTGGTACTTGATCCATCTTGATTCTTTGTTCTACGTCATGGCTGTTTCATTGTGTCTGATTGTGTCTTGTGGCAGCTTGACTATATAAGCATCAGCTTGATCCATCGGCCAAACAAACCACGACCCCAGTGCATTTTGGTATGAGGTGTCCTTTTCCGAGTGTTCCACAGGCTGACCGGCTGACCGAACCTTGACATACCCCAGTCTTGAGTCGGGACCCCCGAGTCAAACACTGATAGGCTGTGGGAGAAAGGACTCCGAGGGGCACCTGTCAGGCATTCAACAGCGACGATTCGGCACACGGCCGTCACGGGCTCCGTGGCTCCAGCGCCGTGATCGGAGGCCGTGAGCTTTGGGGCGCCGAGACGAAAAGGGAAACAGAAAGGCTTCTTGTTACTACTAGTAAGGCACTTGTTCCTAGTAGCGTGGCACTTGTTTCTACTAGCTTCTTGTTCCTACTAGTAAGGCACTTGTTACTAGAAGCGATGCACTTGTTACTGCAAAAAACCAAGCAAGCCGCAAGCGAAGAGCTTTTTTGGGGCTCGCTCCGCAGGATGTAACTCTCCCTGGGCACACGCCAGGCATCCAAGTAGCGCTGTAAAAGTTTCAGCCTCTCGAGCAGCGGCACGTCCAGGTCACTCCATTGCCTTAGAAGCTTTTTCTGGAAATATTCCACCCGACCATGTTTTAAATGGTCCTTGGGCGGTCTGAAAAGGAAGTTCCTTCACCTTGGTGCCACAAATAGGAGTTGGACTTCACAAGGGTGGAGGATTTAATCACAGAGGGGGTCTCAAAGACTACAGGCGAAATGAGGGCCGTCAAAGAGACTCAATAGAAGTGCTCCTGGGAGAGAAAAATAGAGAACATGCATCAAGCTATCCCACATGTAGCAAGTAGCTCACGCACTTCCACCATGCCCACGACCCCAAACGAAAAGAAGCTGCCTTCCACCAAGCAGCCGGTAGTCGTAGAGGAACTTCTCTTTGTAAAGGATCTCCAATGGGTCCACCCAGCGCATAGGATGACAGAAGAAGAGCCCATACCAAACCTCCAATGGGCTGCGGCCCTGCAGCCACCCGGGTGCTTCCACCACATCTTGTGCAAAGGTGGCGTCATGGTAGTTGAAGTAAACCTGGCCACGGCCCGGCCGGCCGGCTCAAGCTTACATCTAGAATCTATGCCTATGCCGTGTTCCTACCAGAAATTTGATGAAACGCCCCCACAACATGGGAACTCGACTTGAGACTTTCGGAAAGCTCAACTACAACCCCAGCCTGCGCCCGGACCAATTCTACTGCGACTAATCCACCAGGCCCTGACATCTGACGCCACCAAACTGGTCAACTAAGGGCTGCCAGCCCTGTGAGGATCACAGTGTCCCTCCGATGTCTGGTCCCAAGAACCTCCAACTCTTCAAACAGCCCATCTGGAGGCCTTGGGCAGGAATGTGTGCCCCACCCTTCCATCCAAGTGGCCAACTGATAGCCTAACGGCTCCAGCAGCTCCACAAACGCTGAGAGCGAGCAGTGCCGCATGTGCCCTCTACGTCCCTCCGAGGCATCTGGGCACGACGCACTGGTTGGTGCGAGAGCGGAGAGGGGGGGTGCGGCGATGCGCTCCCCAAAGCTCCCCAAAGACCCTCACAACGGTCCCATGGAAGGTCGTTGTCCTTCACCAACCAGTGGCTCTTGGGGTTGTTCTCGTGAATCTGCATGGGAGTTTAGTCATAGTTCTTCTTTGCCACACCGTGACCCAAAGAGATCCCAATATTCCAAGTATCAATGTACCGTGGCAAGCCACGTGTTTGCCTTGCGACGGAAAAAAGGGCTGCTCTCGGCTCTCTGACTCGCTGCGTGAGGGGGAGCAGCGAGTCACATTTCCGTGGCTTCTAGGCCAAGCTTGCCCACACCCCGGGCCCCTTTCCTGGAAGATAAGCACCAGGAAGGGTCATACCCTCTGATCCAGAAAGAATGCGTGCCCAATGAGTCGGTTTCCCTACAACAATTTTTGAATGCATGAACATGACGCTATCAAGTGGAGTGCACCTCAAGGCCATTGGCAAAGTTTGAATCACACTTGTCACACCCATCCCTTACTCCATACCTGAATCAATACCTGCGAGCATGGTCCAAGAGTCTATATAGCTGGTCAACCCGATGGCTTTTCGAAGACTTCGAGCGCGAACCGCAGTTCCGCATGAGAATCCGCTCCGCGGCGGGATGTTCTCCACCTGAAAACCAGCGGTGCCAAGTCTCTGAGGGCTTCCATGGAATCGAAGATCGTCCCATCAAAGGCCACGGGTCTGTCAACACACGTGACACAGGTGGGGGCTCGGGTCCAACACAGGTCAGCATTGACTTGGAGCTGCCTGGAGCTCCTCACGGCTCCCTGGAGCTCCTTCTCATAGATCGACACCCCTGGCTCCGAACCTCACCTCCTACCTCAGCAAGCTGCTATGCCCAGGCATCCACATGCCCAGCCGTGGGGGCTCGCGGCTTTTTTGGGTGAACAATCCAGAGGTCCGTGATCCCCGTCTCTTCTTTCAGTGTGAAGCTGCGCGAACAAACGCATCAACCGTCGATAACGTCAACCGAGACGTGTCCTTCACACACGAAGTGATAGAAGGACTCCCCCGTGATCACCGCGCCTGTAGACGAAGGGCGGCGGCACCAGTGGGCTAACCTCCACATGGATGAGCAGGGGCTTGAGCCCGGTCTCCAGGATCGTCTCCAGGAAGCAGCAGTCGCAGTTGTCCACATCCACCTCAGCGACAAAGATGAGTCCAGCAGTCCAGCAACCATTAAAAGGCGGGGGCCGCCAGGCCACACCTACATCCCAAAGACCCCGAAGCCGAGAAAAATCGATTCGCGGGGTCCTCTCTTAGGTCCGATTCTCGGCACCCCAATGATTAAAGAGGTTCTGGATGTATCACAATGGCCCCCACTACTCACCCTACAAAGAAAGAGACCATGAAAAACGGATGGATCACCCGATCTCGATGGAAATTCCACTCACACTATAACTCCACCCGCGCCTTGAGCAGTTGAGGTGAGCTCTGCCTCTCTGCCAAAGCTCGTCGAAGGATGGAGGCGACGGTCTCCGGATCGATAAAGCCCAGGTGCAGCTCCAGATCCTCGAACTGAGAGGATCAAGGGTGCGCCAGAGGCGCTCAAAAGGAGGGTGAGGCCTGGCCCAAGGAAGGTGGGGGGGGATGAAACAAAAGCGTGGCATGATGATGCAACTTCAACTACAGTATGTATTTTACTGTATGCTAGTGTTTAAATCAAATCTTGTTTTGGTACATCATCTATCACATGTAGCCGGGGGCACGCCTCGGGGCCCGTCTCCTGGCGAATCTGTCCCAGTCAAAAGTTGCTCATCTCAGAAGAGGATGTGCTGCAAAACGGTCTGCTCATCTGCCGAGCCGAGCTTCACTTCGACCCAGGGTCAGGTTGCGCAGTAAGGCTTCGTGCCTGTCATCCCCTTCGAAGAGAAAACCTCCAAATCCTCAAATCGCAAGGATCATTCGGGCTTGACGTGCTGGAATCCAAGGCAATAAGGAACCCACTGAGCTTCTGCAAGCTAGCTGGCTTTTCCACCGCCAGCTAGCGCTTTCACTTCGGCAGATGTATTTGTGTGTGCTTGGCCTACCCATGAATGAACGAGTCTGAATGGGGATCTGTATGTTGGAAACGTCCCTCAATAAGTGAAGATGTAAAAAAGAATGCAAAAGGAAGACTAGTGACTAGCAAAGCGTACGTCTCCCGCTCCCGTTTGAACATGCGTTTCTTTTTCTACATGTAAAGATCGTGTCAGTTATTTCCTTCTCCAGTTGGCTTCACTCTGCAACCCTCCAGTTTGAAGCCAGAAACTCGTTTCTTCTGTCCGACCATATCGATGTTTTACACCACCCGGCGGTACGTCCTCTTCGTCCCTCCACCCGGAGCGCGCAACGGCGAAACGGCGAAACGGACAGGCGTCCATCCCGCAAGAGGCAGTTGGCCACGTCGTTGGAGCCCAGAAAGCTCCGCTCCAAGTTATCCTGTCGCGGGATGTCCTGATCGCAAGAGCCATCGCCTGCGCCCAGGTTCACCAGCCAGGAGTCTCTCCATTCCTGGGATGGGGCGTCAAGATGAGAAGGAGCTGCTCAAGAGGCGGACCAAATGGATTCTAGTGCGGTCAATGTACCTCAGAAATCTGCACAGTTTTGCGATGAGTCCTTTTCCCTCTTGGCCTATCCAGCCAGGAGTCTGAAGGCACATTGTTTGGAATTCTGGGCGGCTCAAAGGATGCATACCACTTCAGCAGGTGTGGCCGTCGGCAGAGCCCAAAGGTATGCAGATCGGGGGCCACCCACCTGACCGTCAAATCAGTCACCCACGAAGCCCATGTAGGGAGTACCCCCAAAAGAAGGCCTGGCCTGGCTCATGGGACCATGTTGATCACAATGTCACTGTCTACTGAGTCTGCTGACCTTTTCCTGTGGGTAAGGCATCCGGTGGTTTTCACCGATTTCTGTCAATGTTTGACGGGCGAGGGCCTTGAACCTTCCCAGGCTTGCAAGCTTCCAAGTTGACATACCTTGCTAGCACCCTTCCAGCAGGTGACGTTCCCTTCCAGGCCTTGGAATCCAGAAGGCGGTCAAGTGTGGATGTTGCTGCAGGCTGTCCCCAGCAAAGAGCTCCCCAACATAAGTGCCAAAAAGGTTGGAGGCCGGCATCAACGCCTCCCATATTGAGTGCAACTTTAAAAAAGAATCTGAATGGGCACCGAGCAGACAGCGTTTCCCAGAAGGTCCGGACTGAAACGATCAGAAGCCCCCTCAGAAGCCCCCTCCACCTGTAACATCCAATGTGGTCAGTAACTTGATGACGAAGTCATATGCTCTTCCTATCCCATCTGCCCCTGCTCGGCACTGGAAAGGCTTGGACCCCCATGGCACACCCCTTCGCTCCGATCCGCTCTTGCCGGCCTGGCGCCGCAGGATGTCGTGCGCCTGGAAATTGGACAAGTCATCCGTCTCATAGCCTCGGTTGGAACATCCCAACTGATCACCCCCCGGCGTATGGGAGGCAGGGAGGAAATGGAAGCATCATTCTGAACCCTCCAACCCGGGCCGCCACCTGGTCAGGAATGCTAGGCGACATCTCCCCTCATTCAAGATCCGGCCTGTGGCGGCCCGCACCTGGCGCCAAAACCTGTTCGCCAGCACCTGCTTGCGATTGAGATGGCATTTACTGCAGTGCTGTCGGCCTCCACATCCGTTCGACCGCCATGGCCAATGGGCAAATAGATACATCAGCCGTCAGCCCTTAAACCCTTAGAAAGCCCCGAAAGAACTCCGGGAAAAAGACACTACCTGAAGCCACAGTCGAGGTGCAGGGATGCTTGAGTTGAATCAAGGCCTCTTGACTGATGATAAGCTCTTTGCCAAGTTGACCTGCCGCGTCCCCCAGGTAGGCCTTGGAGCTCGAAGAAGGAAAAGAATCCCTCAGCCATGGGTATGAGTAGCTACATTCTACACATACTGTATTGCAGTATCTGTCTTCAGATGTGGACCATGAAAGTGAACTTAGACTGTAGGGGCCAGAGCACAGGTGAAATGCAGAAGAACATGGAAAAACACCGACAACATCAAGACTGCACCCAGCAGCACTGCTACAATCTCAAGAATGTCAAGGATTTGGAGTCCGCTCAGTTCATGCAAAGGCGCACTTACAATATCGACCCCCTGGCCCTGGCTGGGTAGACTGGTCTATTTCCCGAACCTTCCAGACAAGGGCAGGAGGGTTGGTCTCCTTATTTGAGCTACACACCCCTTCAGCTCCATGTAGACACTGGCAGGTCAATCACAAATCCAAGCCACATCCAAGGCAAAGACCCTTTCCGCTTCCTGACCGTGGAGACTGTCCGCTGCAGAGGGTCCGCTATGGAGAGATGCATCGTGAGTGGGTGGTCTGAGCATGCTCAGGTTCGTTGCGATTAGAGGAATCTACACCCGTTCGGATGGTGTAAAGACAAAAGTAAAGCAAACGAGCCTAAGAAAAAGTGCTTCCATCGAAAGAAATGACCCAACTCAACCTACCTCTTTTTGCCAACGCCCCTCCCCGCGTGCAACTTCAAAAGAAGACCTATCAAGACCCAGAATACCTTTCTGGTACCCAAATTTGGTTCTAAAAAGGGAAGGACCTCCAAGAACTCTTGGACTCTTGCGATTTCTTTCAGAAGACCTGTGCTTCTGACCCGGAATTCCATGGGCAGAGCATCTGCCAGCGCTTCAGCGCGCCCAACCGGTTCGAACCTCTCGAAAGGCCAGGCAGACCGGCAGGACCGTGGCAGCCTCCTGGCGCGTGCCTTGAGGGTAGCAGCCACGGAAGGCCGCAAAGCACTCCTCGGCGTGGTCCAACTCGTTCGGTGGATGGGTCCGGGGCAGGGGCTCCTCCGGTCCGCATGGAGCTGTGAATCCTTGTCTGTGGGGGGTGGCCGGGTCTACTGTAGGGTGCTCAATGGAGATGGAACAGATGTAGCAGGACAGTCGTCTAAACGAAAGGCCTGGCTCCATGGAGATGTGTGGACATCTCCATGGAGCTTTTGCATTCCGGGCATTCCGATCATCCATCTTGCCCACTGCAAGACCATCCAGAGCACAGCACTCGATGTCATATGACCTCACCTTGATCCTTTTGTGCTTCACCCTGGAGTTTTCACAAAAAAATAACCCCCAAGCGCACCAGGTGTCAAGCTGTGCCATGGTCTCAAAGAGAGCTCCATAGGCTTCCCACCGCTTCGGAGCGTAGTAGCGTGTGGCCACCAGCCACAACATCTTCGTGGCGCAGGGATGCAGCTGAGACATGGAGGGACTATTCCGCGTCGCGTCACAGCTGTCGGTCCAACATGCACCCAATCAGAGGGTTCACAAGACTTTGGCCCTGAAAAGGGGCCTCAATCTCTGAGAGTCCGGTGTTGAGAGGGGTCACACCAGCCCTCTCACCCCAGATAGCAAGGAAACAGCAGCATCGGCAGAGACCGCTGGCTGACGGCAAAGAATACGATAAAATCGCCTCAAATACATCTCTCTCCTGCCGTAGCTTGTGGGCATTACTTTAATAGTAGTCGATTTCGACCAGGTCTTTGAGGCCCTTGCTTGTGTCCCTGCTGCACCTGCCCTCCAGTCGAGGAGCTTGCAGCTGCTGGGCAAAGCTCTGTCTGGACTCCTCCAGTGAACATTGCCATCCTTCAGCATGAGAAGATTCAAGGTTGAGCTCATCTGCATCCTCAGGTCGTCTCTTACTTTTTCATGAGTCAAGCCTAACCCAAGTGTCCATTCCATTCCGATGATGACTTCCACTGAGGTTTGCTGAGCTATTTGAGGGTTCCATTTTCTTGGCATCACATCGCTACTTCCTTGACTTGACACACACGCACCCACAGAAATGCCGTCGAGTGGCATCCAGCATGTACGGGGGGCAAAGCGACCGGAAGGGCAGAATGGGCATGGCCCCTGCCAGAGGAACCAGCGCCGCCCAGGACATGGTGGTTCGGCATCTCCAGGAACAGTCCAACTGGAGCCACTGCAAAATCCAAGTCTTAGAGACACCTTCGGCAGGGGATGTAAGGGAATGAAAGGTGCAACGCCTTCCATCTCAGACAGCTGCATTCGACCCTTTTCTCTATCTTCACCTCAGACAGCTGTAGCTAAACCTCACTTATTTCAAACAAATCAGGCCAGCTTCGCAAGTCTGCCCTCTCCGGCAAAGACATTACAAATGGCCGGGGGCATGGGCTACTCTGTACAGAAACAGCTGGCCGTCAGACTGTAAAATCTAAAAGGCTCGCGTGGTCGTAGCGGTAGTCCTCGTCCTTCGGTATGCAAGACTGACACGACTGACAAGGGACAAGCGGTGAGACCAAAGTGATGTCCGCACTAAAACCTCAAAAAGTCCACCAAGGTGTTGGAAAAAGACGCCTGTGAACATCGGGAATGAAGCTGACGTGACCGTGAAACGATCTATTTCGAGCAGGGCGACCTCTAACAACTTCCACTTCTTCCACGAGCAGTTTCGACTCACACGACGCCGAGCGTCTGGGACCACTTCCACCTGCTGCGACTGGACACGAGGGAGGTTCACATAGGCGTGTGTCCCATAGCCAGGTAAGGAAACCAAATCTAGGGCTCCACCCAAGTAGCGAGCGTACAGCCTTGATAGTGGCAGGCCTGGCCGAGCAAAAAAGAACACAAAAAGACACACCTCAAATGGTCCGAGGACAGTTGTAGAACATGTGCTGTCCGAGGACAAGCCCAGTGTCTGCTTCAGCGGTTTCAGAGCATGGATTGGAGAACCCATTAGAACGTGCGACAAGAATCGCAAAGAATATATACGCGCAACGCTTCAAAACACGACGGTTCTTCTTCGAAGGGGGGTGCTGGACATGCCACATCCATGACAGAATTGGAATGGCATACCAAGTTGAGTCAAGGGAGCTTTCTGGTTTTCAGAGTCGGCGTAGGCCGGAACCCGGTCGCACAACCGCATTTTGCGGCCTACGCCATGTCCAGCCAATCGTTTCTCTCCACCATACGCTCCGTTTTTGGCCTGAGATGAGTGATGGCGTGGAGTGATGGAAAGAACACCTTCCCGCTTCGGGATAAGGGGTTCCAATATGTTCCAATGATATATACATCAAAAAGGAAAAACATAAACACAAACATACTCCGATAAAAGACTCCCAATCAGGCAGAAAAACGCAAACCTCAACACGAGAATCATCGGAGTGCAGACCAGCAACTGTGGTGTATAAATATAACCATGCATTCACTCCTCGCGGAATCCCTCGTGCGCGATCGGACACACAGATCGTGACGTGGTCCTCGTCGGCACACACAATCACGTTGATCGGAACATCCTCCACTTGTAAGTCAGTGGTGGCACTCAACATGTCCGCGGTGGCCCTGCAGCTGTTCTTTAACAGCTCCATCACCACATATTTCAACACGTGAGGCATATAAGGAAATCTGGGCGTGTTTCCATCATCCAGCCCTTCGCCACAGGCAGAATAGGCCTCCACAAAGACGGCGGGGCTCCAGCCGGTGCATTCGATACACATCTCAAGCACCGCCTGCCAGGCGGCCAACCCATCCAAAGCAACCGGAAGCAACCCTAGGAGCTCTAATCGATCAAGAGTGCTTTTTGGAGCTCTGTTCCTTCCCCCGGACTTCGTCACAAGAGGCGAAGGAGGCCCAGGGAACTTCCTGTCAGCACTGTGTTCCAGCACTGAAGGACGGTACGCCCGAAAGGACGGGGGTGATGTGGTTCCCTCAGCATATCATAGCATATCCATGTCCTATTTCGCAGCAGGAAGGTCTTCCCCAAAGCATGGATGACACTCAGTCACGCAACGAACTTTGGCCATGCTGTGCTGCTCGAGTTTGCACATCATGCATGGCGCGGCGGCGTTGGTTCTGCTCATCCCGAAAACCCATTCCGGGCAGCCCCTCAGTCGCCTTGGCAGCGGCTCTGCAAACCTTCTTGGTGTTGCAGCGTGGGTCAATGATCCCATGCCTTGGCGGGCGCCACTTGCGCCCGTTCTGCCGCGGCCGCCTTTTCACCCTGCTTGGTGGGGCTTTCTTCACGAAGAATTCTAAGCTCTCCAAAAGCTCCAGACTTGCGGAATCACGGTTTACGGGAAAAGCCATTGGATAGCTTACTGCCTGCCTGCTGTCTATTCCGCGATCGGTGCCTGCGGACCCTCACCCGCCAAGGTGCTCCTGCCCTGCTCGGCAAGCTAAGAAATGGCTCAGCAGGACTTGGCAGCCGATGCGATTCAGCAGAAAATCGTCCAGGAACTTGTTCTTGCAGTGCGGGGTTCGATCGGCGGATTGCCCATGGTGATTTTGTTGCCCCATGATTCTGCCTGGTCAAGGCGTATCAAGGCTTTGCTGAGGCTGTGCGGGAGGAAATCCAAAAACCAACTCTTTTTGAGGCCTCCGGGCCCAGAACCTCCTCCGGCTAAAGTCTCTGGAGATGAACCCACAAACCTGCAGGCACTCCACATGGACCCCCAAAAACCATGACTACTGGTTTAGCTCAATTGAACCGGTTTTCCGAACAATTCAGATCGCCGGTGTTTGGGCAGCCGTTCGCCCCCCCTTCGAACCCTCAGAGAACGCAGCTGTCAAGCCACACAAACTCCTCCTTGATCGTCTCCCCAAACTCTCGCCGTAGTTGGTGGACCGACTTGGCCAAGAGCTCGACCACCACCTGCTCCCGCAAGATCGCCTGGCACGGCACGGAGGCGACTCCACGGGGCCGAAGGAGAACGGAAGACTTGCAGGACTGCCATGGTCGAGAGGGAAAAAATGGAGGAGAACATGGGTTTGCCCCGGTTTCTATGTACAAAGACGGGTTTCTATGTACCAAGAAGAATGGCACACTCTTCTTACGATGGAAAAACCGAGACGACTTGTGCGACAGTTCGGAAACCATGGTTTTTTCTATGGTAGAACGAAACATTCTTGTTTTTTCATCACCTTGATGGTACCGGTGGGGGGGACACACCGTGGCCTCGTGGGACACCTGTGCGAAGGAAGGAAGGTCAGCTTTGCGGAAGGCTTCAAAGGATTGAGTGTGGATCTGGTGCACTTCAACGAGGTTTCGCACCTCCTTCCAATGAGGCACCTCAGCTGGTGAAACCCAGGTTTGGCACCTTCAAACCCCCAACTCCACGGACATCAGGGGCCCATGAACCAACAATGAAATCTCGAGCACCTAAGTTGGCTCACGGCAAAATAACTGGCAAGAGTTCTTAATCCTACACTTGTGTGATGTGTGTGTATGTGTGTGTGTGTGTCAAATTGCATGTGTCCTTCTAAATCTGTATCTTCTACGTACGGAGCACCAAGGACTGTTCTCCACATCACATCCCTCTCCGTGAATCGTCTTCCGCCACTCTCACTTGTGCCCGTTCCATGGACCGCATCCGAGCCGCGTGCTCCAGCGAACGGATTCGCTCGGCGTAGCGGATGGGCATCTCAGTCTGCAGAAAGCGCGAGATCTCCACGGGGTCCACGGTGGATGTCAAATACTGCACGCTCCTCATGGGCGTCTGGCCACCCTTCGAAGTGATGGGGGGCATGCGCAGAAGGTGCGAAGCTGCGAAGGGTGAACATGGATAGGAGGGTCGACAAGCACCAAGGGCCATTGAAAGAAAACCAAAAGGAAAACGTAGTAACACAAGAAACCAAACAGAGTTTGCAAACCTTTGGTCATTCATTGAGATCATCTACCCCAAAAAAAAAACGTGTGGGTCATGTTTCGTTTGTGTTTTTGGTGTCCTGGGATGAGGTTCCAGTGCTGCGAAGGCCGCCACATCGGCGGGCCCACCCAGTTCCACCTGCCAAGCCACACCGCACATGAGTGGGTTGTGATTGTGGGTACTTGGCCGCCCGCTTATTAACATCCTAAAAAGGTCAGCCAACAACCACACCCTCCTGCATCACAAGTTTCCAGGGGACGGTTTCTGGGTAAGATGTTTTCAACTCCACTGCCCGTGCACGTTCCATCGTTTCAGCCGTGCAAACCTGGATTCTGATTGGAAAATGAACACGATGTGTTTTGTTCAAATTCATTGCAACAATTTGCGAACGTGGTTCGTGGCCACATGCACGTGCAGCGACACCTCCTCATTCCCATAGAAAAGTATGTTTGGAAGCGTTGCTCGTCTGGAGTTCCGCGAGCACAGTCCCACACCCAGCCCTTGATGGTGGTTGAAGCCCGGAAACCTGATCCCACACACCCAAGACGCGCGGCACTGCCCCGGCCTCGACTGCAAATCTCCTCAGAAATCGGCCCGGTGGTTGCCTCAAGGCATTGAGCACGGCCCGAGCTGCTCTTGGCACGGCCCTCATAGAACCGGGGCGTCACAGCACTCCCATGACCCGCGCTCCAAGAACCATGTCGTTGTCACATGGCCCACCAAGGACTTGACATGGAAGTTGGGGGCCAACAGCTGCAACGCAAGCCGACAAATGCGCACAAATTTTGCCTAATTTGATCACACCAGTGCGAAAAGTAAGAAAATCACTGTCAAGAAACCTCTGTAGGCATTACCGTGGGGTTCCCTCTGTTAGCACGAAAAAATGAAAAAACACCATTTGTTTTTCCAGCGAATCTTTTTCTGCGCGCCCTAGTCCATTTGTATACCGGCGGCCCCCACATGTGGCCAGGGCCACGCCACAATCGCAGCCCGGGAAGGGGGGTGCGCAGGAGGTGGGGGAGGGGACACTCAGCTAGAAGCTCGGCAAGGGGGGAAGGATGCCGTCAAGGTGTTGGGCTGCGTCCTGGTTGAGCAAGCTGGCTGCAAACGGACGAAGCATGGGTCAGGAGAGCAAAGCAGCGGCTGAAGCACGGTGGCAGAAGGCGATGGGGGCTGGGCGGGCGTGTGGCACAAGAAAACGGAGAAAGGAAGCAGTTTCAGAGCTTCTTTGACAATGGCGCGGGATGTCTGATGGAATGCATGTTTGCGGGGCTTGGGTCACATTCGACAACCCCGTTCCGAAATGTTGACAAAGTGTCAGGTCGGACCACAAAAAGGACAAGCACGAGCTGGACTGGATTTTTTTTTCCCGCAGGACAGGGGGTGAGACGAAACCCTGCTTTATACTGGCCAGGGTCCAGCTGTGCTTAGTCCACGGTGGTGGATGAGGGCAGGCGGCTGGGCGTGGGCGCACCGTCTGTGTAAGAAGTCAAGAGCTCACAGATCGGCGGGCAGGGTCCGTCGACGTTCGTGGAGGCGGACGTGGGCAGCGTCAGGAGGCTGCTGGCGAAGGATCGCATGGCTGCTGCGGCCAAGAGAGCCGCCCATCGTGAAGTCCAAGCGATGGTAGCGGCGTTGCGTAAGTTTGGGGGGTTTGTTGCTGCCCTGTGTTTTGCCAAAAGTTTGATGAAAGTGGTGGATTCTCGGTTCCAACGCCCCCCGATCTCAAGGCCCAGGACGACAAAGCGAGAGCGACCAGGTCCCAACAGCTCGGGGTTGTCCGTTTTTTGGCACGGCGAGCAAGACGCAGGGCCGCACCTTGGCATTGGCCCTGGTGCTTTCGGGGCTGGCCCGTGGAGGCGAGCGGGGACACCAGAGTCTAGCTGGGAGCCATTCCAAAAAGGAAAACCATTTGGATTATGTACACCCACCAGGCCCCTGAAAAATCCACATAATTCGGAGGCCGAGCGGTGTGTCAGTTTCCTTGTCCCCCCATCAGTGATTTGTGAGCCTTCGCTTTCTACACTGTGCCGGTGACAATGGGACAGGTTTGCCATGACTGGCTGGCAATCCGGAAGCCGAAGAAGAACATCACAAATGTTTGGATCCGGAAGCGTCCGGGGCGAGGCCCGCTCAAAGAAAGTGCGCACCCCCCAAAAAAAAGGCCACCAGGAATCACAAAAGCATTGTGGCCTTTTTCTGCACGAGTTTTGAAGCTAAGACCATAGTCCACACAGGAAAGCCGGAGTGGAGCTGGCTATGGGCCAGGTAGGCGGCCGGGGGCTGTGGAAGCGGCCGGGTGTTGGGCCAGGAGCACCCAAGGCAGGGAGGCCCTCTTCCCTGCGATCGCGCCTGCAGCCGGCATGGTCAGCAGGGAAGCTGCACATTGGTTTGGAATGAAAATTTCGCACCACAACCCGCAAGTTCCGCACAAAAAAACAAACCAAATCGAAGCACAAAAAGGAGCACCGGGAAAACACAAATTTCGCATCATAAAAAACACAACTCGTGGAGTTTGTCAGGGACCTCGCAACAATCAAAAACATGTGTCACCAGAAACCACAAGCCGGAACACAAAAAGCGCAAACACGAAAACGTGCACTAGCAACAGGCCAATTGAAAGCCTTCGTTTTACACTGGCAATGAAAACGGGCCCCAAGCGCGTTTTCTTCTGATTGGGCTGCCCCCACAAAAGGCAGGACAGTTCCACAGGCGCACCTTGTGAGAGCACACCGCCGGGCCCTCCTCAAACAGAAGCACTCATGGCATCGGCCAATACCAACAGGAAGGATGGCGCAGCACGTCCTAACAACGAGCCAGCCCTTCGCACAAACCCGGGCAGCGGCACGGGC